CCCGGGCGCCGTGACTAAGGCTCCTGCCGGCGTCTGCGTGGAGTCGGCGGCGTCCCAGCCCCTGCGCTCTCCCGTGGGGACCCTGGTGGCCAAAGTGGCTTCTGCCAGCGCTCCTGCTAAACTCAGCAGCGGCCCTGGGCTGCCCGCGCCCCACATGGTCGCCGTGAAAGCCCCCAGCACCGCCACGATCCAGCTGCCTGCCAGTTTGCAGCTTCCGCCAGGTATGTCGTCCGTCCTCTCCAGCCTGATGTGTGGGGTCCGGCCGGCGGCGACGGGAGACGTCGCAGCCCCGGATTTGCTCCTTCTTGCTGCCAGCGCCGGAAAACTCTGAGCCGAGGGAGCCTCTGATCATCTTGACTTTGCAGGGAGGGTGCAGGATGCAGCCTCTGGGGCAGTGATTTGGCTTTAGAATGAATGTCGTCTCTTCGTGTCGTCTCTGCACAGTTTTTCTTTTCCTATTTGAGGAGAGACGCTTTCCACCCAAGTGACCCTTGCGGCTGGAGCCGCAGATCCAGGAGGGCCCTGATTCAGGCACTGGCTCCCCGGCGGGGGAGATAGTCAGGGTCTATCTAGCTCGAGCTTACTTTCACGTGGAGCAAGGACGAGTTTATACAGTGTTTCCACAGGCGTAGGTGATGGGGATGTGAAAGTGTGTTTGAAAAGTTCTCGTGTGTTAAAGCCGAAAGAGGTCTTTACATCTAAGCAAGCCAGCAGAGGTAAACTGCTTTCTAGTACGAGATATTGTCATGCTGCTTCCTGCACAATCTTCAGATGTGTAATGATTGTAACTTTCAATTAGAAGACTCGGTCTCCTTGGGAACAAGTGCCAGAGTTGACAAATAGATCAGAACTGGGCAATTGTTATACCTGGAATTGGAGAGAGGATGTGTGAATGCCGCTGTTGAGTCTGGGACTCTTTTTTTATCCCAGGGCTTATTACTCTGTTGGACTGTTTTTTATGGTTTACATTAAGGGTTTGCTTTGTGATAGTTCACATGTTATACATGTGCTGGGTGATAGTTGAGTGCTCTGCCTTCCTTCTGCAACTGAAAGTCTCTTGGAATTTGTCTTCTGTTAACTTTGCGTAGCAGTAATTGCGACCTGACCTGCAAAGATGGTAAAGAAGTGGGGAGTGTTAGTTCAAAAGATTGCGGTGTCCCTCAGCAGAATGACAGGGGCTCTGTTTGTAGCTAATGTTATCTTTGGCTGTGAATGGTGGTGGACAGATTATGTTTTTCATTTTTTATGAAGTTCTGTTTCAGTTTTATATGTTACACAAGGTACATAAGCTTCAGGCTGTGCAGCACAGAAAACATTATTTGCCAGTTCTACATTGTTATTCTGCATTCATTCCTATAAAGTAGTTATGCGTATGTTTGAATGAAATTACCCCTTAATTTGTTAAACTATAAATCCTGTTCTGTCACTAAATTTGTTTAGAAATAATAAAAAAATTATTACGATAGAACTATTAAGAATGAAAATTTGCTGTTAAGTGAGAACGAATCACTTACTGAGGGCTTACCGTGCTAGGCACTTTTCATGTATTATTTATGTTCTTTTATTTGTTGGTCATAATAGGCAGATAGCAAATAAGGAAAGTGATCTTACTAGGGGTAAATTATTTGCCCAATGCCAGGCAACCCATAGGTGTCAGAGGGGATTTGAATCTAGGTCTATTTAACTCTACTCTTTCCACAGCACCACACTTACTTGTGTGTATAATATGCCTCGTTGAGTGTCAGTGCTGAAAGGTGATCAGAGACCTTTAGAGCTGAATCTTTCATTTAGACACCAGGAAACCAAAACTGAAACTTTGTCAGAGTTAAATAGCAGCACACTAGGACCACAGCCTAAGTATGTTTGCAGCACTGTAATACTAAAACATTTTATGCTGTTGACCACGGAGAAACTGCCACAAAAGAAGATAATTTGTCTTGAATAATTGGTAGTTACAGAGGAGGTGGGGAGCCAGGAAGCTGCTTTTGGGAATTTCTGCTGATGTGAGGCAGAATAGTACAGTAGCTGAAGAGTGAAATGGAAACACTTTGTGAAATGGAAACAAAGTAACTTTTAAAAAAGGCTATGAATCTTGTCTATTTCTTTTTTACACTATTTCTTTGATGTAGCCAGTATTATCATTTGGTTACTCCTTGATATTTAAATTACATGTCAGTTCTTCACTTTTCTTTCTTTCTCTTTTTTTGAGTCTCACTTTGTTGCCCAGGCTGGAGTGCAGTGGCACGCTCACAGCCACCAAAGCCTCGACCTACTGGGCTCAGGTGATCCTTCTGCCTCAGCCTTCCAAGTAGCTGGAACTGCAGGCAGGTACCACCACTCCCGGCTAAATTTTTGGTTTATTATAGAGATGAGGTCTCACCAAGTTGCCCAGGCTGGTCTCAAACTCGTGGGCTCAGGCAGTCCTCCCACCTCAGCCTCCCAAAGTGCTGGGATTATAGGTGTGAACCACCAGGTCTATAATCCTCACTTTTCAAAGTAATAAATACGTATTTGATTTCTCTTTACTTCAGAGTTTGCTTTATGAGCAGAGCTGTTTTTAAGAGATATATACATGTGCACCACAGGTCTTTGTAGAGGTAGACACTCGACATTAAAAGTATGTGGAGCCGGGCTCGGTGGCTCAGCCTGTAATCCCGTGCCTTTGGGAGGCTGAGGTGA